CTTCCTTCCTTCCTTCCTTCCTTCCTTCCTTCCTTCCTTCCTTCCTTCCTTCCTTCCTTCCTCCCTCCCTCCCTTTCTCTTTTACCCTCTCTCCCTCTCCCTTGTAGTTCCAGGTTCATCCATTGGTTTGGAGATCTCCTTTTCTTCATTGCTCATTGGCCAACTGAGTAATGTTGAATCATAGATATTTCTTAGCTATGAGATCTCAGCAGCATTACATGGGATACAATTAAGGAAGGGTGGCTTGTCCAAGTTGATCTGAGAATGGAACTTTGGTGACAAGGCTTCTCAATGAGATTTGTTGCAAAGACTTCTGCAGTATAGCCCTATAGGCATTAATTTGGGCAAAGGTTCTCTTCCACTGACTTCTAACTTTGGGAACAATGCCTCACTCACTAAAGGCTTCACCTGGGAGAATCATCATCATCATCATCACCACCAGCATCACCACCACCATCTTTCTCCTCCACCTCTTCCTCTTCCTCCTCCTCTTCATTCTCCTTCTTCCTTCTTTCTTCTTATCCTCATTTTCCTCCTTGTGCTAGTCCCGAGGCTTGAACTCAGGGCCTGGGCATTGTCTCTAAGCTATTCTGTTCAAGCCTAGCACTCTCCAGATTTTTGCAGGTTAATTGGAGATAAGAGTCTCTTTTCTGCCTAGGCTGGCTATGAACCACAATTCTCAGATCTCAGCCTCCTGACTAGCTAGGATTACAAGTGTGAGCCACCATGCCTGGACCAGGGGAATCTTCTTAAAGTAATTTCCCAATTCTGCTAGGTAGACCCAGGGCTCTGATGCCTGCATTTCTAATATGTGCCCTGATGATGCCCACATTGTGGCTCAGGGAGTCACAGTTTTTTTTTTTTAATTTAATTTTATTTGTGAACATACTGTACAGAGGGGTTACAATTGCATGGGCAGGATAACGCGTACATTTCGTACCAAGCATTGCATCCTCCTCCTTTGTTTACACTTCACATCCCTTCCCAGCCTCCCCCCTCTCCCCCCAATGGGAGTCACAGTTTGAATGCGGATCTTCTATAACAATGCTTCCTAAGTCTTCTCTGCTGACCAGTCACAGTGTCAGGAATCCCATTAGAAATGCAGACTCTAGACAGGCGCTGGTGGCTCACACCTGTACTTCTAGCTACTCAGGAGTCTGAGATCTGAGGATCACAGTTCATATCCAGCCCAGGCAGGAAAGTCCACGAGACTCTTATCTCCAATAAGCCACCAGAAAACCAGAAGTGCCTCTGTGGCTCAAGTGGTGGAGCACTTTCCTTGAGCTGAAGAGCTGAGGGACAGCGCCCAGGCCTGGAGTTCAAGCCCCACCACTGACAAAAAAATTAAAAAAGAAAAGAAAAAAAAAAGAAAAGAAATGCAGACTCTTGCTGCTCACTCTGGACTTGGAGAATCAGAAATTCTGGAGCAAAGGGTCCATGGCTGAGTTTTTAACAAGCCCTGCAAATGATTCTGCTGCATGCTCAAGTTGGAGACCTACTGTTCTAAAGAATGAATCGCAGCTTATTCTTCCGTGCAGCATATCCCAATATTTAAAGTTTTTACTACTGAAAGGTCTCCTTTGGATCTTACCTCAAATATTTTTGCCCAATTACTCTAGGGTTTTATTTGTTTATTAGGTACTGGAGTTTGAACTCTGGGTCTTGTGCTTGCTAAGCAGGTGCTCTACTGATGAGCCATGCCTCCAGTCTTGTGTTGGTAATTTTTGAGACCATTTTGCTTCTTGCAAAGGCGAGTGCTTGGATCTGGATCTACCTGTTTTAGGGTTCTTGAAGTACCTAGGATGACAGTTAGGTGTTAGCATGCCTAGCTTCTTTCTGCCTGGACTGGCCTGAGCTCAGATAGCTAGATGACCGTTGATGACTCTAGTTGTCCCATTTTTTCTTGACATCATCTTTTCTTTTTGAGGGCGGGAGAGTCATACTGGAGACTATGTAATTAGAACCATGTCCCCAAACCTTTTACTACTTTTTCTTTTTCTTTCTCCCCCCCTCCCCAGTTTGTTTTTCAGGTAGAACTCAGGCTACAGTCTTCCTACTTCTGCCTCTTGGATAACGGGATTTCAGGCATACAGCACCACGCCTGGCCTGCAAGTTATCTTTTCAGGTTCTCAACATGGAATCTGAGGCCTAGAGGGGACATACGACATATTCTGATTCCTTTTCCCCATGATTTCTACTTCCATGAACCTGACGACCGCTAAGCTTTCAATATAATTGGCAGAAGGCACTAATGTGAAAGTTAAGTTGAAGACACACCTAGAATCCACTTGTTATGTCATCGCTTCAGTGTCAGAAGCTTGAACTATCCTGCTTGCTTTGATTTGGAATTTACAGAAAAATGTACGGTGCCTTATAGCTTTAGCTCCTAGACTAGTATTATTTTAAAAAATATCAAAAAGGACAAAGAAATAGAAAAGAATAATTATACTCTAGAAGAGCTTTGAAAATTTAAAAAAAAATGAACTTAAGTAGAGGCCTGGGGAAGTTGCTTGTGGGCCAATTAATACCCAGAAACCAGCAATTGCCACAGGTTACCAGGGAGGAGGGGAGCTGAGCGGACACTGGGGTCTTAGCTTTGGAGAAGGCAAGGGAACCAGAGAGAGGTTTCAGAGCCGTGAAATAATCCTGGCTGTACTGAACTTTGCAAACTGGGTTAGACTCTGACCTCTGGTATGAGCCAGGAAGGTGTGAGTGCTCTCTCATGTTGTGAGCTCCCGCTGAGTGGAGATAACCCAATGGGTGTGGCTACACTGAGTGGGCAGTTCCAGCCCCCAAAGCAGTGTCCCCCCATTACTGAGCGCCTTTAGGTAGAGGATATAAAATATGAGCTGCATGAGAGCAAATAGACTGGTTTTCTCATTGGTGGACCAGGGAGCATTCTTTCCCAGTTATGTGTTTTGCAATTGAAGTGAGAAGTCACTTCTACTCCTTAATTCCTGACAGCAGCTGGTCAAAACAGTCATCTGACCATGGTGAGAAACTGGATGCTCCCAGAAGCCTTGAGTCTGGAGCTAGATTTAACAGGCTCTGACTATACAAATACCAGGTTTTGGTGCCTTACTTACAGATACCCTTGAAGAGATCCCATTGGTTTGTTTTCTAGTGTTTCTAGCAAAACAACCTATCTCTAGATACTCGTGAAAATAAAATTAAAGGCCTAGATGAGTACATAATTATTGACAAGGACCAGGAAAATCATGGTGGCTAACACTGAGGTCAAATGCTTCCCCCTAAAGACTTAGATGTCTCCATTGGATAGATTGCTGATTTTGACCTAAAGAAATGATCCAAGACATATGGTAAGAAACTGTCTAAAAGATGGGGCCAAAGCCATCAAATTGCTTCTCCATTTCCTCTCCTCCAACACATGAAGCTGTGATGTTAGAAGTCCTCCAGAGCCAATGTGTGGAATGCTGGGAAAGACAAGGTGGTGGTTGCTTCACCAGAGCAGAGAATGTATTAGCTTAGTAAATGTTGAGAATTCAAGTTGATGGCCTTAGATGATTAAAAAAAAATCCTAGAGAATTTAGGTCAGTTCATATGTTGACCTTCCTTTTTGCAAAGTATTTAGAGTCCTGCATTTTCTTTATTCCAATAATGAATACAGTTTCTCTCCCATCTCCTCCCCTTTTCACAGTTCATTAGGCAAATCAAAGAGAGGGTGGGCAAAGAAAATAACATAAAAGCATTAAACTTAAAACTTATAAAATGGACCCATTAACATTAGATTGGACTTGGTTTGGGTAAAGGAAATTGAAACTCTGTAAAAAATGTTATTTGAGTATCCAGTGCAGGGGCATAAGCCTGTCATCTAGCTACTTTAGAGGCAAAGATCAGAGAATTGAGGTTCAAAGCCAGCCCTGTTAGACTCTTATCTCTAATTATCCAGCAAAATGCTTGTAGTGAAGCTATGGCTCAAGTGGTAGAGAGCTAACTAGCCTTGAGCATAAAAGCTCAGAGACAGTGCCCAGATGCTGAGGTCAAGCCCCAGGACTGGTACAACAAAAGGGGGCAGGGTAAAATAGTTTCATTATTGAGGTTATCAAAGAATAACTTACTATTTGTCAGTATGGCAGGTAATATAATGATGCCATCTTTTCTAGTTATGCTTACTATTTTTTTCTTAAAAGGGTTAAGATGTGCTTTTGGTTGTCACTCAGGTAGATAAGAAGTTGGACCCGAATTATCAAGATGTGTAACATCTGTGCTGTCATTCCCACACCCTTAGCCACCAGGGTCATTCTTTCTTGTTCACCCCCTTCTCCAACCCTCAATGAATCAACAAACAAAAACATACCTGTCCGGCAGTGTCATAGAGTCCCAACAAGTGCTGCTTGCCTCCCACTGTCACCGTAACTAGGAGAGAAGGGGAGAGGAAAGTCTATAAACACGAGCTTCCATCAAGAGGTCTCGCCGTTTCCCAAGCCAGCATGTTTCTGGGCCTCGGGGAAAGCATATGCCTCTCCAGTGTAGATGCTAACCCGAGCAGACAGCACCATTGCCAAGCGAAAGGCAACCATGAGCTGTAGCGGTAGCAGATGGACAGAGACAAGTCTAAATTTCTCAACCAAATGAATCTTCTCGGTGTTCCTGGGGCACTGGAAAGCTGTTCATCGATCCTTGTTGGGCTCTAGAATAGCAAACTCCTGGAGGAGAAAGGGTGCGGACTCCTTTCTGGTGAGGTCTTTGTTTTGGGTTTAGCACCTTTCAGAACACAAAGATGAAGTGGCACTGTGGCTCAAGTGGTAGAGACTAGCCTTGAGCTAAAGAGCTCAGGGACAGCGCCCAGGCCCAGCGTTTAAGCCCCATGATCGACAAAACCAAACAAACAAAACAGAATACAAAGCTGTGTAAGCAACTTGCCTGTTGAAATCTCTCTGGTATTATCTGGCTTTGAGAGATGAATAAAAGCCAGAAAACAAAGAAAAGTAGCCCACCTGCATATTTTATAGTCTCTCAAGCAAAGAAAAAGAAATGAAAGGATGGAAAAAAATGAAAAGAAAAAAGCTTCGTCTTTAGTCTAAAAAAGTTTTCTCATTAAATAGATAAGCTTGATTGAAAACAGCAGAGTTGTTTTAGTTCAACCGAATCCTCATTATTTTGAGGCTTTGGTTGTGGGAACTGTATAGATTGGGCCTCACATAGCTGAAGGGCGTAGAGAGAGTGAGAAGTCTCCGGTTTGCTGTACCCAGTAGGCTCACTGCTGTGTCTAGCCTTGTGTTCACAAGTGAGAAGGGGTAATGGGCTCATCCCAACCCACTCCACATATGTCTAGAAATGAAATACAAATCTCAACTTGCAAGTGCCCCGAGAGGGAGCAGACTGAATACAGAAGCAATAGAATTCTCGGAATGAAAGAAAGAGCAAATTTAAATGCGCAGAAATCATTGAATTTCTGTTTGGAAACAGGAAATAAAACATGAAGGAAAGAGTGAGGAATTCATTTTTTTAAAAAAATTGCAAATGCGACGTAAAGATTCCTTCTATGAGGAATTATAATCTCTCTAATCTCTGCCCACCCATTCTGTAGTCAGCTGTGGGAGGCTTGATTGGGTGCTGATGTTCACCTTGGTTTCTTCCCAGGTTCTTGGGTTACATGTCTGAAAACAAGTCTTCATGTTGATGCTGGAAAAGCACTCGTTTAAAAGTACTACCTGCCCCTAATACTGAAGATGATTTTTGGGATCTATTCACTCCAGATGTGTTCAGATGTTGATAATATGACTGCAGTTATCCACATGTGTGAAATGTGTGTTGCTGGTGGTGAACCCAGCTGCCGTGAATCCTGGTGACAAAGCTGGCAGAGGAAGGGCATGTAGATATGGTACCTGCATGCATAAGTTAGGGTAGCAATGAGAATGGGTGATCCTGAACTTTGTCCTGTTTTCTATCTATTTTCTGTACACTGGGTAGAAGATATTAGCCTGGTCAGATGTCTTGAAATTGGCCTAAATGTTTTCTTTAATGACCAATCAGCTACTTAGTCATGGATCAGGAATGAAGGGAAGAAATCCAGCCATTACAACATGGAATTTCCTGTCTCCAGCGAGCCCAATATATGTAGGTCAGGGCCAGCTGTTCCCGGAATCCCCTTAGACTTTTCTAAAAACATGCAGGCCCAGGGTCATGTATGGAACAGCTAGAAGCAAAGTCATCCTCATGGTGAGACCGTGAAAATATTCCTAAGCAACAGCTCTGAGCTTTGTCACCAAGAGCCCTGATGTGCCTGCTAGGGCTAGTGTGTTTTCTCAGGAAGAGTCATTCCTTCCAGCCTCCTTTCCCTTTCCCTTTCCCCTTTCCTCTGGGCAGCTCTAGCTCCAGGGAAATTTTTACCAGGCCTGAAGCTAGTGTGAGCAAGAAAGGTGAAGGTCTGGGCCAAGAGTCCGGGCATGGACCGTCTCCCCTCACTTCCTTCCCTTCTTCAAGTGTCTGCTCAGTTCCTGCATTGAGCAGGAACAGGAAAGAGCAGACACTGGACCTGCTCAGAACTGAAAGAGCAGATGCAGTTTCTCCTCTGTCAGGGAGCATGGAGGCAAGTGTTTTACGGGTAAAGCATAGTCACAGTGCAATGTAGCACGCCCTCGTCCAAGACAGCTGGTGCCATGGCTAAGTGTGCAGGCATCTGTGTTCCCAAGAGTACTGGAGCTTGGTCAAAGACAGCTCAGTGCTATGCAGGGTACCCTGGGAGAGATAATGCTGAAGAGTGTGTATACAGGGCAGGACTCATTAACTCAGGCTTTATTTGGAAGGTTTTGTTAAGCTGTGAAAATTCAGCATTATTCCTTTTCCTTAAATCAAAGAAAAAAATCATACTAATTTCCATGGATGCAGGGAATACGGCAGAAGGAGGAGGATGGCATCTTTGGTGTAGGAGCCATGTTGGATTTTCAGCTTGGCTGTGTCTACTCTGCCTATGTGTGCAGGGCCAGGCTTCTTGAAGGGATACAAAAGGAAGCGTGGAGGGCTTCTGACTTTATTTTCTCTTCCCTGCCATTTCATTCTTCTATCCTATTGGAAGGAAGTAAATGGATCACTGTATGCTTCCATCAGGAAGAATAACACCGCCCCATTTGTAAGGAAATGGAAGGATTTGGAAAAAATCATATTAAGTGAAGTAAGGCAGACCCAAAGAAACATAGGTGCCATGGTCTCCCTTATTTGTAATTAATTAGTATATGTCTAGGATAATCTTAGCAGATGAGAAGAATAGCTCAATAGCTATGTACATATGCCCATATAAGATGGTGCTAAGTGAAATGAGTCCTTGAGCTTTTCTGCTCAAGGCTAGAGCTCTACCACTTGAACAACAGCTCCACTCTAGTTTTCAGTGGTAAACTGACTTTTCTTGCCTGGACACTGGCTTGGAACAATGATCCTCCGATCTCAGCCTTCTGAGTAGCTAGATTGATAAGCATGAGCCACTGGTACCAAGCCATGATGAATTTCTTAATTTTCTTAACATCTCCAGTTGCATCCATTTTCTTGAAACTGGCAAATTTGCCTTCTTGCAGCTTTTTCCTGTTTTGTCTTGTTTTGTTTTGTTGGTGCTAGTATTGGGAGTTGAACTGGCCTGGTGCTCTTGCTTATCTTTTTCATTCAAGGTTGGTGCTCTACCCCTTGAGCCATACTTCCAGTTCTAGGTTTCTTTTTGCTGGTTCATGGGCAATAAGAGTCTCTTGGATTTGTCTGCCTGGACTGGCTTTGAACTTCAACCCTCAGATCTCAGCCACCTGAGTAGTGAGGATTGCAGGGGTGAGGTTGAGGGCTGAGGGTCAAAGTCAGCCAGGGCAGTCCCATCTGCTCCCACTCCCTGGGGAGACACTGCTGAGAAGGCCAGGGTCCAGCACAGCTGCCTGGCAGACAGTGGTCAGGCACTTGTCCCACATCGCCTTCTATTCTGGGAGCTATTAGAGCTGTTTTCTGAACCTGAGGAGGTTTTATAGAGAGTGGGTCAAATGACCCACTAATAGCTCAGATGGTTCTTTCAATAAAGTGTGAAGAGTCGTCAGTGACCTGTTTAGTCTGTAAAATGAAGGGTCCTTCCTCACACCCACTGAGCACTCTGCTTCCTCGTCTTTCTTCTTGGAGTCAATTGGAGTGGTTAACCCTATTTGGTAGTCTGAGGTAGTAATAAAGCCTAAGTTATAGTGTCTTAGGATCAGCTAGCTTGAACCAGAAAGAAAATCTCCCAGCCAGGATCTTAGGCCTTCTTCCCTCAGGATTTCAGTCATGTGGCAGAGCTGTGTGTCACTCACAAACCTAGACAAAGCACTGTGGGTCATACTCAGTACTGATGCCAATCCAGGCTGTCATCCAGGTCATCCGTGGCAGCAGGAACCTGGTTCAGAGCCCCTTCCCTGTGGCATGCTGGGCTGTCTCAGCTGTCAAGAGCAGTGTTTTGGAGTGGATGAAGATATGGTGAACTCTAAAGGGGGAAATGCCAGGCAATGTAGGGGGAAGCCCTCCAGGACCCTCATACACAGCCAGCTGTCTGCGGCACTGTTGTGGAATGCCCTCTATTTGGTGAGCAGGATGCAGCCTCCCTGGCTATGGGGACTGGAGGACATCATGAAGGTTCTGCTCTGGAGATTTTAGATACAGCAAGATATAGCATTTTAGGGAAATTCAAAACATGGCCCTCATGGAAATATACAATGGGGCATGCTCAAAGATTTATTAACTCATTAGTAAGTGAATCAATAAGATGGTAAATCTCATCCAAAGAGCCCTTTGGGGAAGTAGGTGTTTAAAAAGCAGCATGGGTATAGAGTGGCTAAGGTTCAATAGGAAAATGGCACAGGGCATGGTGGTACATAACTGTAGTCCCAGTGTTGGAGAGATCGAGGATAGCCAAATTTGAGGCCAGCCAAAGCTGTGTGGTGAGACTCTGTCTCAACCAACAAATTGGTTGTTGAACTATGCTCTTTTCTAATAAATAGGAAGTATTTGCATCTCTTCCCGACTAGACAGAAATGAATGTGTAACTGTGCAACAGCTAAGCTGTTAGTTAATAGAACGAAACACATTTACCTTCCTCCAGGTGATTAGTGGATACAGAGCCTGGGGAGAGGTACATGTGAAGTGCTGCCCAGTATGGCATTGAATGGACATCTGACTTATATCTAATTTTTCAGAGCATTTTAAATGTGCATGCTTTGGTAAGATTTGGCAAGCATCTAGGGGCTTCTGTCTCCAGCTGTGCTCACTCTGATCAAAGGTGTTCAAAAGTCACAGGCAATTGTTGCTACAGGTTGCTTCTATGTAGACAGGGCTGAGTAATGGAGAACTGAAATGAGAAGTCACAATTCTGAGCCTCCTTTTAGGGCCTACAGATCAGCAGTTTGTATATAGCTGCC